CTCTATGTTTGTGTCAATTTGGAAGAGTTTGGGTGGGGGACTCTTGGCTCGCTTATTTGGAGTTTGAATATGTTCTATCTTGGAGGGTTAAAATGTTATTTCATTTGGAAAAGGTGGGAAATCACAAAGGTTTGGATTTACAATGGTTTGGATTTACGTTGGATTTACGAAAGTTTGGGGAGCTTCTAGGATCATGATTTTTGGGGAATTTCAAATGAGTCTTTCAAATGCACATCATTGGATGTCGGGATTTATTTTAAATTCGGTTTTGAATGTGGCTTTGAGGGTAGATCAATCCTGTACTATTTTCGTATTTAAAATGGATCAATCCCTCCTCTTTCTTACCCCTTTTTTTTTTCTTTTCCTGCTTCTTGGTTTGATTTAGATGCTAAGCGCACATATATAGTTTTTTGCTATACATGAACCATCAAGTAAGGCTGTAAGTAGCTTGGTTTCGGGGCTCAAGAACAATGATGTAAAAGACATCTAGGTATGTGTGAGAAGTTTTAGCACAATTTTGACTCAGTGACCTTGAGAGATGAGAGAATGAGGTCAGTGACCTTGAGAGAATGAGGGATTGACACTACTGCACCTCTAATACTTAGTAAATAGTTACCCATTTCTTTTACAGACAGTGGAAAGTTCCAGCCTATCAATATGACTGACTCATTAACTTTCTAAAGTATGAAAATTTCTTTAAGTGATATATATGTACACACATAATTGACTAAAAAAAATCTTTTAAAGTGCATGACAAATCAAAATTTATTTTGAAAAATGAGATCCTTATTACATATTTTCTGAAATTTTCACAGGTCAGTCATACGAACTAGGTTAGAAATTATTCTTTTCTGTGACTGTTAGGTCGGCGACCTTTTACTTAGTTTTGAATCACACATACATGGTGTTGATTATTTTGTTAGGGCCCCAGGGTCTTGACTTTGACCCAAGGTCCTGATTCTGAGTCCACCCCGTCCCGAGTGTTTACGGTTTTCTTCAGTGCTTCGTGCATTTCCTACGGTTTTCTTTCTTTACATAGCACTTGTGATTTCCTCCGGATTTTTCTTGTATTTTTGGTGATTTTCTTCGAGTTACCGTGGGTCAATTGACGATTTTCTTGAGTTTTTCAAGTGATGTTTCTCTTGTTATTCATTCTTACCTATATGAATGCATGCTTACACATTTCTTAAATCCTTTCACTATACCCGTTTACTCGTACCTACGACATCGACCATATTTATAAGAGCAGCAGTCTCTTCGGGTATACAGGTTTATTTTACATTTATAGTGTTTTACTTTCTTTACTTACGTACTTTAATGTTCTTCACTGTACATTTATTGCATTTTCTCTACTGTTGTTTTCATTATTGCACTCTCTACTGCTTTTTTTTTACTGCACCTGTTACAGTTTCTTTTTACGCATTATGCAATTAAAATAGGAGGCAAGTAATCTGGTTGTATAGGAGGTACCCAGCAGTAGATCACCGACCCAATAATTATACTTGCAAATACAAAACATAAACTAAACTTGGAGTAGCTACAGTTTGGATCTTGGAGCAAGTCTTCGTGGGCAGCATGACGGAGAAGTAGCAGGTGGAGGATGACGATCTACAACAGCATATTTTTCCTTAGTTTAAATAACAAGCCACAGGACTTCAAGGTAGTCTGTCTAGCGTGACATCAATCTTCACTTTATCTTTTAGGCATTTGTACAGTCAGGTTGTGCAATTTAAGCCCTAACTCGTTTTAGATTCCGAGGTCGTCGTCCGATACGACGTAAACTCTCATATCTTTCAGGCTATTTGTATGACTGTGTCACGCAAATATAAGTCCTAAATAATAAAATTGACATGATGAAACATAAAAAACGCATCTTCTCGAAATTAAAGCGAATCAATAAAATAGTTTGGGAAGTCACCGAGGTTCTCTTCAGAATCTGTGGCATCCCCTACTTTTCTTTCCTTTGATTCCAGAAATAAATGTTCTCATTATGTCTCTTTTCCTATTTAATTTTTCTATGTCCAACTTTGGAAACTCTAAACTTTGAATTCATGAAAATAGATATCTTTGATCATCAACGAGAGTTCTCTTCAGTGACTTCAGTCATTTGAGAGGAAATTAACTATAGGGGATTGTCTCTATAGGGAACTTTAAGAACTCACGTAATATAAACACTATTTAATTCTTAATATTAGGTAGGGGAACTTGTCGGTCAACATAAAGGTTCGCAGACTAAAATCGATGTCATAAATTCTCTAGTTTATTTGATCGAGCCTCGCGGATAAGTGATATGTATATTTCACGGAATATGTATGTCACTTCTAGTGTTGTGCTCGTTTATTTAAACGATCATCTATATGAGATTAGTTCGGTCTCGTATTTTCAAAATTAAAATATATATATATAATATATATATCATATTAAATCTTAAATCATAATCTCTTTCCCAATTTTAACGGCCGACAAACACATGAGAAATATAAAACAAAAGATATGCAACATGCACAATGCTTTAATTTCAAAGGATATATTACTACCAATTGTGCCAAAATATTTTATAATCATTATATGAAACTTGAGCATATTATTAAAGAATTTTGTACTCATCTTCAAAATTGGTAACCAGGTTCTAAAAAAATAGTTGTTTTAGATCATGTCACTGGTTTAACTTACCAGTGGCTTAACAGTGACAAACGAGGTCTTACTCTTGATATAGTTCAACATATCAAAATTAAAGCCCAATCACCAATAGGGCAATAAGATATGAATACATTAACCACTGCATATTGGCTTGTGGATTCTAGTGCATATAATCATACAAATAGTACCCCTCAGCTTCTTCAAAATATCCGCCCATATCATGCACCATCATCTATTCAGATTGTTAATCATAGTAAAATGTGTATTAAACTTATTGGATATATTAATTCTTTCATAAAAGATAATCTGCAACTCTTATGCTTTCTACTAATTCCATCTCAATAAAAAAATGATTAAAAATAACCATGATGTATTATCTTCTCATGACTGTTGCATTAAGCAAAATCAGGCAACAAAAAACAATCATGAAGGTGCCTAAATTTTAACAGAAAGTCCCCTTGCATCTTTGTATCGTTGAAGTATACCATTGTAAATCAAAACAATGATCTATGGCAAAGACGATCAGATTATCCAAATCATATTACTTTATATTATTTAATAAACTCTAATTTCTCAGGTAATGATTATCAAATTTTTTTCTCTTCAATAAGTTGATTGTTGATTTATAGTGATGTATGGACTATTAGTAATGTTATATTACATGCAAAGTATAAATATTTTATAAAATTTATTGACAATTACAACAAGCATGCTTAAATTTATTCCCTCCGACATAGATATAGAGTATGAACTATCTTTTGGAAATTTGCAACCAATGCTGAAAAGAAATTCATGCCCTACACCAAATTATTAAAATAAAGACTCTCAAGATGAATATGTCATTTGAATTTCATGACTTCGTCAAAAAATAATCTATTCCTCAATAAACATGTTGTTATACATTTCAACAAAAAGATTTTGTTAAAGGTAAGTATCACCATCTCTTAGATATTCTTTGAACTCTGTTGCTAAAATCTTAAGGCCATCTATAATAATTTCAGCCCATATTTGATATAAAGAATATGGTGCCCTCACTTCTTAGAGTTCGAAATTTATGGTAATATCTGGTACTTTTTAAAATTCACATAATAGCATTCATTATCCAAAATATTGTGAATATTCCATCAGAAGTGAACACAATATCATAGAAAGAAAGGTAATGATTTTCTCCCTAATGCCACTATTTTTTAATAATTGATAAGCGACTTAAATTATTTGACACTCACACAGTTTGATATTTCTTTTGTGGATCAACAAGCTAATCAATACATGCAAAAAAGTTATCGTTTACATTTAGTTTTCAGTCGTTGAATCATTTGATATCCTATTGGTATATCAATATAAGGTATGTTCTTAACATAAAACATGCATTAGCTTATGATTGAGTATCAAGTATAATGATGTGGATTGGGATGTTTGCCTTGATACCCGCTAGTCAATCTAAGACTAATACATCCATCTTAATAACTCAATAATCTAGAAGAAGAGTATATAGCAATCTTGTGTATATAAATCAACAACTGAGTCTAAACACCGTGCTATATTTGTTGCATGTGCAAAACGTATTTGGTTTCATTTACATCCATATGAACTTGATTATGTTTAGACTTAGCCCATTGGTCACCATGCAAACAATACTAGTGTCATTCAAATTGTTGTGAATCTTGTTTATCACAAGCACACCAAACATGTTGAAGTTGAATGTCATTAAATTAAGAATTCTACGACAATCATATTATTTCCCTTCATATTTCTATAAATCTTCATATTATGGACAAATTTATGAAGACGATGACACAGCGACATCAATTACATGCGGATAGATTGATGATTCATGAAACTAAGGATCAATTTGGATGGATATACCGGCCATATAAGAATTAACATTATACCATAGACCTATGTTTATTAATAATGATATTAAATGTGTTAGTATAAATATAAATATTAGTTCCTTGGGATAAAATTATAGATTCCGTGTTAGACTAAAGATAATTGAGAAAATCACTCAAACATTACCTTATATATATATAACATCAATTCTTTAATGTATGGTGAGAAGCTTTTAGGTGAAGGCAAACAATTAGTGGGAGCAAAGCTTTCATTGCCCTCCTAAAATCCTAACGATAAGGTGTATATGATAAATTGAATCTGGAAAGTTATGTTTTACCATCTCAAGCTATGGAATTTTAGTATTGATAGTTTTTAAACAATTGTTGTTCCAGCATGGCAAATTTCATTAATCATCTTTTTATATATAAATTTCTCTCGTTGAACAACCAAGAATTATTCAGTAGAAGAAGATAATTGAGAAACTATTTAGTGGAATAACTTCCAACTACAAAATCTAAACAATGTACCTTTTTGGCGGTTTGCGCTGTTATCAACTACAGGTTCATCGGGAACCTCTTTTCCTTTGCTTAAGATTTTTACTGCTAAACCATTCTTAGCAGATTTTAATAAGGATTCTTTGCTGATACAATCAGGTGGCTTGCGTGGAACAAAAATTACAGCATCCGTAACAAGTAATGTTCTCGAGCGTCGATGATAAAAGGCAACCTCTACATATGGTCCAATACCTGCAAAAATAAAACAAGGTAATGAAAATTTTCTAACATAGAATAAGGATATTATGTCCAACAGAGTATAATTATGGTCAGGTTGATGCTTTAGTTATCAAGTAAAGTGACAAAATAGTCCCTTGACTATTTACATAGAGCCATTTTAGTTCAAGCGTTTATAAAAGTGCCAAATTAGTCCCTAGAATTTTTTAACACGATTTGTCAAGGAATGACTATTTTAGCCCTCACTAAAAGAGTCCAAGGACTGAATAGGTACTTCAAAGATTTTGGGACTAAAATGGGGCCCCTATAAAGAGTCAAAAAATCATTTTGACACTTTTCTCTTTAGTCATCAACAGAGAACAAACTTATTATTTCTAAGAAAGAGAAAGAACTTTACCAACTTCTGCTAAACTAAGGACCTTTTGCTCAATCTCATTAGCCCAAGGGGCAGACTCATCCTCATCTGTTAAAGTTTTTGCACGAAAAATGCCGAAGAATTCAAGTGGCAAGTTAAGCGGCCAACTCCATTGCCTAGGAGCCACCCAAATTTGTGCCTTGGGAAACTTTCTCGAAAAGGGGCCGACAAATATCTTATGCTCATAGGCGAAAGTTGGAAGTACAATGTACTCAACAGGTGCGTTTAACTCTTCCAAAAGCTGACCTTTCAAAACATATATATTGAATCAATGAATATGTCATGGAAGAAAACAAAGTGAAGACCGGAATTTATTATAACTAGCAGAACAAAATATGGATGGAGCTTATACTATGAACTTAGAAATTAAAATCACCATATAACAAATTCCTTTAGTGGTGGAGCTACAGTGGGAGCACAGGGGTCAGTGTCCCCATTGACCCAAGCCACTAATAATAGTGTGTATTTGTTTCTTTTTATTTTATTTGGTTACTATGGCATAAGGGGGAGAAGCTTGAAAACCCGCCAAAGAATACAGCCTGCACGTACCTAGAAAATTTTAGTTTAATGAGAATGTATTTTTTATTTTATTTTATTTATTACTGTATTATAATAATTTTTATCGCACACACGCACACATTAATAAATTTATAAATAATTTAAAGTGAAGATGAAAATGATCATTTGACCCCTCAACATATGTCAAATAATTTTGATTCGGATGCTGAGAGGCTTGCTTGTGTCAAAGTTTTGAGAAAAAATAGGTTGAAATTTGAATAGGCTCGATCCATTTTCCTTTGTTTTCATTCCATTAAATAATAATCTTACAATCTATTTTAGGTACAAAATATTATGTATAATCTATTTTAGGTAACTTAATAATACATATTCCTAATCTAAATATTCAGTTGAAAGGGAAATAAATCAGAATAAAGATATTGGAAAAATTTTAAATAAGGAAGCTCCTAATTATAGAAAACTCCTAATTTAGTTGTTTGATTTCCGTCCTTTCTGATTGACATCCCCCCTCAATTGATGTTGACTAATCAGGAAGTATCAATTTACCAACAATAAACTGACAACACTGTCGGGACCAAAAATCCTCAAGCCTTGAGTGTCGAAGTCGAAGGTGCCAAAGCCGAGAATGTCAAAGCCGAAGAGACAACTCCTGAATCATAACATGATTTGAGCAAAGAAAAGCAAGAAATTCTTTATCATTGTCGTCTAGAAATTTGAATCATAGCCACAAGAAGGATCCTCTTCCAGTTACACGATCCAAATGTTATCGATCATAGCCCACAAATAGGATCCAGTTCCACTATTCATATGCTATCGATTATAGCCTACAAATAAGATTTGTGTCCTGTTAAACGATCCAAATGCTATTAATTCTTCCTGCGACGACGATGACGATTTGTTCATTGATCTTCACGACAAAAGTTTTGAAGTCGAGATGCCGAAGTCGTGAGTGTCAAAGTTGAGATTGTCGAAGTCACGAGTGTCGAAGCCGAAAATCTAGGGTTTGTCGAAGCCGAAGTCGTCGGTCTACGAAGGAGTGTTGAAGCCTTCAATCCTTGAGTGCGACAAAGAAGCCGAAGTCGAAGCGGATGAAGCCGAAGTGGAAGAAGCAATCGAAAATGCCGTAGAAGCAGCGATGGCTAGCGAAGGAGATCTGAAGAAATGATGAGACGATGAACAAACGAGCGAGAATCAAGGCAAATAAATAGTTCCTTCATTTCCGTCCTGCAGGAAGTCCGGTGGGAAGAGAGTTTTGACGGTACTCCAATAATTATCGATCGTTATAACAAAAATTTGACTCTGATACCATGTCAAAGTTTTGAGAAAAAATAGGTTGAAATTTGAATAGGCTCGACCCTTTTTCCTTTGCTTTCATTGCATTAAATAATAATCTTACAATTTATTTTAGGTATAAAATATTACGTATAATCTATTTTAGGTAACTTAATAATACATATTTTTAATCTAAATATTCAGCTGAAAAGGAAAAAAATCAGAAAAAAGATATGGGAAATAATTTAATAAGGAAGTTCCTAATTATAGAAAACTTCTAATTTAGCTGTTTGATTTTCGTCCTTCCTGATTGACAGCTTGAACAAATTTGACGATACAAACGTGCTCACATTGTTCATTTCTTGAATCGAAGCCTCATTAAAATATAATAGGTAATACTATTTTCGGTAAATTTTTATCAGTATATATTTATTATTCTTATATTGAAATTCTAATAAAAAATAATTAACCTTAATGTTAATCTTAAGCCCACATGAAACTAATTGAGGGCATTTTTGAAATCGTCAATTTGTGTGCCCACTAGCAATATTTTCTAGCTCCCCCGTGATTCCAAAGATAGACGTATTTTTTAAAAAGTAGTGTGAATTGAAATAGCTTTGCTGCTTTATCAGATTTTATTACAGTCAAAGAATATATGACGACCATAATGATTGAAGTAGTGAAGAACCTGAATGCATTCTTTGGTCGGAGCAATAGGTGCATGAATCCACAAACCCCCTGATTTTAGCCTGATGACTGTCATTCTGATGTTAGTGGAGACACTGCTGAATCCTAAAGCTTGCTCTTGCTCAAATAGCCATATGCAATCTTTCAAAGCCTTCAAAAATCAGAAGAAAATAGGGACATAAATAACTTTTGTTCGACAAGAAATTTATGCTATGAGCAAGTTAACTTGGTCAATGGAAGAAAAAAATTATAATCAAGAAGCTGTGATTCGCTTAATGGAGCTTAGGACTAAAAATGTAGCAAGAAGTGGATTGGTTCAAGAAACAAACTTTGTAAACTTAAAAGCAAAGCAAAACACTAAGAATAAGTCAAGCAACATGGTATGTTAATAACCAAAAATAACAAATGTTTGGTACTTGTAGCCAGTCATGCATGGATACAATTAAAGATAATCCTTCAAAATCAAATAAAAAAGTTTTACATAGTATTCCTCAACCAAAAAAGGCATGTTTAACTATTGGCAAGCACATCGATTTGCTTATAAATTCTTAAAAAGTTAAAATATAGAAATGCAAAATAGTGCTCATTCCAGCCTATGTATGTCAACATTGAGTGTTTAAACTTTAATCAAAGCGGGGAGAATGAACAAATCCTGATATCTACCTTATCTTCATACAATATTTCAGCATCTTTAAACATAATTTCTTTAAACTTACTTCAATTTCTATAAAAAGGCAATTTCAAGTGTTTGCATTCAAACTTGGCCCAATAGGCTTTGATCCGAATAACTCTTTAATTATCAGCCAAATAAGCGGGTGAACAACCCCGATGGTCAATCCTATTCAAGTTCAGCTTTGGTGAAACCGGCATACCTCCACAAACGCTACAGGTAGAAATAGTAGAAAACCGGCATACAACCTCAACGCCTCTTGTGGTAGGCATGCCAATCACCAAATCTATAACTAAAAATAATTTGCATGTTTCGAAATCATTATTTTGTTTGTGTTATTTTATCAATTTTGTCTATTTTAATTAATCATGCTTGTATGCATGGAAAAGATATATAATTGCATGGAAGGACATTTTTATCATGTTTTGGATTGTGGTGAACAGCCAAGAAGGCAAGGGAGCTACTTGAAAATTCAATTATGCTTTGAGTTACCTAAGTGATGCATCGATTTATGAATTTTCTACTTATAACTGAAGATCATAAATGTGAAGGAAGGAGAAATGAATAGATTCCATGCAAGCTTTGGAAGGCCATTTACAGATTCAAACATATGGGTGATAGAAGCTTTCACTCCTATGTTTCATATATAACTTAAATGTCCAACCAAAAAGACAATTCATGCATATACTTTTCCTTTTTTTTATTTCAAAATCTTTATACTCTCATGAATTTTGAACTTCTCCTCAAATTAAATAACCATGGAAATTAACTTTTCAACATTATGTTTTGAATATCAACTGAGAATTCTCTGTTTTCCAAACTTAGCTTTGTAGCTACTTCTCTTCGTCTCTTCTTTTAGTGAAATTGAATGAAATCCTTCCTTTGGTGTAAAGAAGAGGTGATTATTATTTATCACTGGAGAAGAATTTACCCAAACTCTCACGGAATACTCGTATAAATAAATTAAGAAAACTAAAAGCATTATCATAAAAAAGTCGGAATAACTATAAGCACTGAGTAGACCAAACTATATATCCAATTATTCAAATTTACAAAACAAGCAATAACGAAACACTAAGCAGATTGCAAAACCCTATCAAAATCTAATCATCCAAACTCATTTATAATTTCATATCAATCAAAGGCATCGCCAAGCCATCTTTTCTTCACAAACAAAATTGATAAATAAATCATAAAAGAAAGGTTCGTACTCACCTCAGTCCTTATAGTTCGCCTATTGAGAAAAGGGCCTAGAGGGAAAGGAAAACCAGTGAAGTTTATATAAAACCTCCCCGCTCCACCGGCACCACTGTTCGCAGAAGCCACAACCAAACCCCCCAAATCTCTCCTCCTGCTTACGGTTTTCTCATCAAATTTGATTTTCTTTGAAACGCCGCCAAGAAAATGGCTATTCAAACTCAGTAATTGGACGGACTTCTGACCAAAGATAGATCTCGGAAGAATCGCAGCAGCGGCAACAGTCGCCATGTTCCACCCCTTTCAGCTCACTAGTCGCATCTACACGACATCAAACCAAACAAAAGAGATTACTAAATCTCTTGGTCATGACGGTAATGGGGTTACCTGAGATCTGTGAATCGATAACGACATTTAGGGTTCGTAAATTGGCGCCTTGGAGAGTATCACAGTCTTATCAGATACCGCTCGTGGCTGTGGATTGCCGAGAACCTTCTACGTTATGAGCGGGAGCGGGACCGATTAGAGATTCTTCAAAATATGCGGCAGCAAATTTCTCAAAACCATGCAACTTGGGATCAAAGTGGGTCGGGTTTACTTGGATCAAGCTTGAGTGTTGGACGAGTTAGAGTGGAGTGAGTCGGGTTTACTTGGGTTTTAACTAGTCAAAGTGGGCCCGGGCTGTTTGGGCCCGGTTTCTATTTGCATATCCAAACACACCCACACTAAATGCCGAGTTGGGTCGGGCCAAATCTTGAGCCTTAAAAAAAAACATTTTGTTATAAGGAGGCAGAAAACCTCTCTAATCATCACCATTCATGAATAATACATTCTAAACAATACGGAGGAAAAATGATAAATAGCGTTGCATCAATTAACTCGAATTATATACCAAAAATCAAATGAGATTATGAAAAACATAATGAAATAAAAATCACATAAAATTTAAGTATTTGTACATCGAACTTCTAGATTTTTTTTTATAGTTACATGCATGCCACAAAAAAATTTTAATATTGCATAAAACATATCATAATCATTATATTCTTAAAAGTGAAATATATTAGTTCATGCAATTGCTTATGACACTAAGATGTTATGCATGTATATATTAAACTTCGGAGGTTAGATATGTAAATATATAAAATTTGAGTGAAGTATATGTAATTTTTCTTAAGAAAAAAAAAGTTGACAACTTCAATTTAATTTGATGTTAAAAAATATTAACAACAATAAAAAATATATCAATCTCATTGTTGAATCTGAAATTGTCTGTGAATCATACCCAAGAAATAGAGTATAAGACAGCAAAGAGAGAGATGGTGGAGATAGAGAGAATGAATACTCTGTGACTTGCCTCTCTCGGGCAAATTAGGGTATTCTTGTGCTCTTATGGCATTTTTTATATAATCATATATTTATGAAAACATGAGAAGAGACAATGATGGCTTAAAGTCCCTCTTCACATGAAATGATCCCTTATTTTGTATTATAAAGTCCCCCTTCATATGAAATGATCACGAGCACTTGTAGCTTTCAGTCACATTGGGTTGTCCAAACAGTGGGTCGTCCAAGCTATGGGTCGTCTAGACTACGGTTGTTCAGGCTACTGATCGTTCAGGTTGGGTTTGTCGTCCAAGCTAAATTGATTGTCCTTCTAGGTCGGTCATCCATGTTATGTCGTGTGAGTAGGGTTAATTTTTCATATTAAGTCGGTTGTTCAAGCTGAGTCTGTCGTCTCTCTATGTATGTTGTTTAGACTGGATCACTCATTAGGTTGGGTCAGTCGTCCAGGCTGGTTCGTCCCTCTAAGAGATCGAGCCGGGTCGGCTCATACATATTCTTGATGTGCACACATCAAATATAATCTTAGGGTATGAATAAAAAGTTAATAATTTATAGTATTGACATTTAAAAATTATACTACTCTCATTTAAAGTTGATTTACATACTCAAAATTGTGTAAAGCTGGCGGGAATAAATTTTTTGTCCAAAAATATCTAGATCCTGAGCTTTTTCATTTTTGTTGTGTATACGTATACACGACAAAAATAAAAAAAAAACTTCGGATCTAGATGCATGTATTGATATGCATACATGACAATAATTATTTAATTGTAAATTTATAAATTATATTTTGTTCTCGCCGAAAAATGAGGGGTGGGGGGGCAACTAATACATCTCCAAATCTTTATCATTCTACGTGAATCTTGAGTCATAACACAAATGTCAAAATAATATTTTAAGTGTTTGTTCAAACTTGATAAAAAGTCATCCTGAACTTCGATTTCAACAAACTTATAGTCAAACTAATTGCATCGATGAGACAAACCTAATGATATAAAAACTAGTCTATTCCGAATCAAATCAATCCCAGATCAACTTATTAAACCACTCTCGAAAGATTTTTGGATGCATTTGGAAGGTCAAACCAATGCTGAATTCAACGGGTTTATAGTTGAATCAAACGTCTCAGCATGATGAATCCAACGAGCCCAATATTTCCTAATTTTGACATCGTTAAGGCACTTAAATGTCTATCAAATATCATCTGATCGAATGAAGTTATTCGGATCGTCCAATCCAAATAGTTCATATTCTTACATTAATTGCAACTAGAACGCTATCAATAGATCCTCACCCTCTCATGAGAGGAGAGGCTTGAGCCTTGAGAGATAAATTGAAACTTTGAGAATATGCTGAAGTTCAGCACCATCCTTGTCATCGTCGATCGCTGTCGATCACCGCCAACCTTCGTCAGTCACCGTCGACCGTCTTTGACCACTGTCGACCTCCATCGACCAACGTCGGTCATCGCCGACCACCGTCGACACCCGCTGATTGTTGTCGACTACTACTAACCGCCGTACACCAACATTGTCGAGCACTACTGTCATTGTCAACCACCATCGACCATCATTAGCCACCACTGATCACCACTGATAATCACCTATTATTGTCGACCACCAGGTCCACCGCCAACTAGACGTCAACAGTCAAGATTGTAACTTGAAAAATCTAATAACTCTTTTCTCGTCTGTGGGACAATGGGTCTCTGTAATCATCAACCTATGATGGATTTTTACATCTTGGTCAAGGCCCTTGGTTTTTTCCCCATTATGGGTTTTCCAAAAGAAAAAAAACATTTGGTTTCATTATTGGTTGTTTTCTTTTACCTGAGAGTGTGTTGAATTCTCCCGCAACACTAAGATGATAATACATTAATCTACTGTCGTGAATTTTCTAGCACACAACAGTTTGACGCTGTTCGTGGGAAACAAAACACCATTTGATTATGTCTTCAACTCTGAGACATCGATCCCTTACCTCATTTCCCATTGAAGTATATCATCCAATTGACAAAGGAATCATCTTTGCATATTGAAGTTCATCTCTAGAGCATTCTTCGATGTGGGGGGCTAACTTCACCGCATTCTTCAAAGGTTGTTCCCGTCAATGTATCAGACATGACTATAGTGGGGTTGTCTTCTTGCATCCTATTCAGACACAGTATTTCACAACTTACTCCAGGCTGGGGGCGTAAACTTTAATACAGTCTTGAAAGGTGGTTCACGTTAACATTTCGGGCACTATTGTGGCGGGGAAGTCATCCCATTAAAATTATGAGTCTTTGAGAATCACTTATGGACCTGGGGGCAATCTTCGGCACAAAATAATGCTTCCTCAGTGCTCCCTCATCGCATCAAAGTTTCTCTTAAACCAAATTAAGAAATTGATCTCTTCAAGGCTATACATGGGTTATTTTACAAGCTCATATGGAAAACAAGGTTACCAGAGGAAAAATAAATTCAAAACCAACAACTGACAAGTTGCCAAATATTATTCTTCAGTATGACTGCACCATATTTTAAGAAAATATATGATCATTGCAACCTACGTCCTAGTATCAAGAAACACAAAGCATCTCTGACACCTCATTCAGGGATTAATTACTTCCAAGTGGCTCAATCCGACCTCTTCCATTATAGGTTACAATCGTCAAGCCAAAGCTTCAACATACAACCTCAGATATGTAAAAAATACTTGATGGATTTCCTTTAACCTCTTCTATGACAGGTTACGGTCATTAAGCAAAACTTTAACCAACAACCTATGATAGGTCAACCATTTTCAATGGATTTCATATGACTTTGTCCGTTACAGGTTAATATTGTCGAGCATCTCCAATCATACAACTCTGAACTGGTCATACATCCTTATTATATTATTCTTTTCACTATGCTCCTGAAAGTTAAGCCCAAAAGGCGAAACTCGATTGGAAGATATGATACTCTCGAAGTTGAGCCCGAGGGGGCAAGACTCGTTAGGAAGTTGCAGTGCTCCAAGAAGTCAAGCCCAGGAGGCAAGAACTGAAGGGAAACTACCATGCAACTGAAAGACAAGCCTGAGAGGCAAGTTTTGATGGGAAGCTAGTGATGGGCAGGGTCCTCACTAGAAAAGCTCAAAGAGAGCAAGTGGTTGACAATGTCTCCACTCTAAGACCTAAAAAAGCTACAAGTCTAATAAGACACTCGCATATCAAATATCTCAGAAGGCTACAAGCCTCAGAAGATACAAATACATAAAAGACCTCAAAAGGCTACGAGAATCGGAAGATGCTGGTTCATTTCAAAACCATATAAGGCATAAGCTCAATAGGGCACAACCTCATAAGGCACGAGCCTTAGAAGATGCATGATTATTCATAAAAGTATGTGTTGAACTCTCATGCAACGCTAAGACGCTAATCCATTACTTTACCGCCGAAGACACACACAAATAGAACTAAAGGGAAGCTACCATGCAGCTGAAATACAAGGCTAAGAGGCAAGTTTTGATGGGAAACTAGTGATGGGCAGTGCCCTCACTAGAAAAACTAGAAAATAGTAAGTGGTTGACAAGGTCTACACTCTAAGACCTCAAAAGGCTACATGCCTAAGAAGACACTTGTTGTGAAAACCGCTCCGCCGAACACCTACAACCTCACTGTAGCGAAGAACTCCTTATGGATTGAGTTAGATAGAAAAGATATTTAATAGTATTGTACAAATCTTTTCAGCAAGATTATGATTTCAAATTATTGTAATCTTGCTCCGTCAAGAATGCCAAGAAATAAGAAATGGAATGCAAAATAAAATATCAAATTCCTTCTTGAAACTTCTTTAAAGGCTACGGTTGGGAATGCCAAGAAATTTGCTGCAGTGCCTTATCCTCTTCTCTGTCGGGAAATCCACCTGCAAGCTAAGGATTGGGATTGCCGAAGGACCTGCTTGCTGCTGCGTTTCTTGGATGACGAGGGAGATGATAACAGTAGCTAACCAAGCAATCTCCCTGAATCCAAGAACCTGAGCTGATATAAAAGTTCTTGTTCCAAGAACTGAAAAAACGCAACAAGCATGTACAAAAGGAAAAACCAGAAAAACAGAGGAAAGAAATGCCACAACGAATAAGAACACAAACACGAGGATTTACGTGGTTCGGTCCTTAGACCTACATCTACGGAGGGAATCGCTACCAAATTCACTAGCACAAAGGAAGAATTACAAGCTCATTACATCGAGGAATCACCAAGATCTCTCTCTCTACAAGACCTCTCCCTCAATTCTAAAGCCTCTCAACTTCTTCCTCTTCTTGCTGAATTTTCTTCCATCTCTTGATCTTCTTGATCAGATTTTTCTCTCCTTATGGTGGTCTCTCCATCCCTTAAGACCCCTCATCTATTTATAGATGGATGAGGCTTCCAAGAGGCAAAGAAAAAATTACAAGTGTGTCATTTTATGTCATAATTAAGAGCCATGAATAAACAACAACACTCATATATCAAAGATCTCAAAAGGCTACAATCCTCGGAAGACACAGATACATAAAAGACCTCAAAAGGCTATGAGTCTCGGAAGATGCTGGTTCATTTCAAAACCATATAAGACATAAGCTCAGGAAGGCTCAACCTCATAAGGCACGAGCCTTAGAAGATAGATGATTCTTCATAAGAGTGCCTGTGTTGAACTCTCGTGCAACGCTAAGACGATAATTCATTACTTTACCGCCGTAAATTTTCTAGCACACAACAGAGGCACACACACACACAGATATATATATATATATATATATATATATATAGAGAGAGAGAGAGAGAGAGAGAGAGAGAAACAAAAATGAAAAGCTTTGTATCTAAATATATTTGGATGAAAAATTTGTTCTCGCTTGAAAATAGGTAGACAACTGATACATTTTCAACAAATCTCTATCATTCAACACAAATCTTGAGAAATGATGCAGGTCTCGAGATTATATTTTGATCAAGGAGTGCTCAAATCTTGAAAAAAGTCACCAAGAGCTTTGAATTTAGCAAATTTATAATCAAACTGACCGGCTCGATGAGACAAACCCAATGATATAAAAATTAGTCCATTATGAGTCAAATCAAACACATATCAAATCATCAAACCACAATTAGAATATTTTCAGATGCATTTGAAAGGTCAAACAGTTGCCAAACCCAACGATTTCATAGTCGAATCGAACGACTCAGCAAGATGAATTCAACGAGCCCAAAATTGGTCAATTCTGACATCGTTAAGACACAAATGTCTATTAAACACCGTAATATTGAAGAAAACTCTATGAACCGTCTAATCAATGTGGTTCATATTTCTGCAATAATTGTACCAATACATTATAAATAGAATCTCACCCTTCTCAAGAGAGGGGAGACTTGAGCCATGAGAGAAAACTTAAAGCTTTTAGAAGAAGTTGAAGTCCAACAACATTTCTACCATCGTCGATCGTCGCTAACCGTCCTCGACCACCGTCGATCGCCGTCATCCATCGTCAATCTTTGTTGATCACCTCCAATCGCCTTCGACCACCGCCTATTTTCGTAGACCATCACCCATCACCGTCGACCATCGTTGACCGTCGACACCCAACATTCGTTGTCGATCGCCGTCGACAACTACCAAACACCGTGGATCACTACTGTAATCCTTAACCACCACCGTATATTATCGACCACCATCGATCACCATCAATTGTCATCCACCACCACCACCACAAGATGACGTTAGTCGATATTGTAACTTTGAAATTCTAGTAACTCATTTCCATATGTAGGACAAGTTCCACAATAATTAACATATAGTAATTTTTTGTAAATAAATAAGAATTGTGGGGTATTTATGTAAATGCCCGAAAAATTTTTGATGGCTGCCATTAACGAAGCTAACTTCACCTTCACCTGTAGCACAGTGAAACCCTGGAAAACCTCCGAGAGAGAGAGAGAGAGAGAGAGAGAGAGAGATAGAGAGAGAGAGAGTGGGGTGAAGGCCGATGGCTCAAGCCATGGAGATCGACGCGCCGAGGAAAGAAGACCTCTTCAAGTTCGCCGATAATGGCGACGCTTTGTTCTTCAAATCCCTCGCCGATGAGGAGCTCAGGCGAGCCCTCTCCCTGAGGAACGACGACGGGCGATCTCTTCTCCACGTCGCAACCGCAGCTGGCCGAGCTGAGGTCAAGCTTCAATACCTTTTAATTTCCTTTTTATTGTCGGATAGGGCGAGCCGCTTGGTTAAAAGTACAAAATGTTTCGATCCTTGGTTTGTTTGTGATGTAGGTTGTTAGGCTTCTAGCAGCTGTGGATCCTTCGGGTAGTGTTGTGAATAGCTCTGATGAGGAAGGATGGACACCACTTCACTCTGCTTCAAGCTGTGGCTATGGAGAAATTGTCGGTATTTTGCTCGAGAATGGTGAGTAGAAGATGAATAACTTGTAGACGAAAGGCATGGTTTGTTCAAAATAACACACAAAGCATATGCATTTTCATATATAATACTTTGAATTCAAATTTTGCAAATATGCCATCCCATGCCTCAGCTCCTCCCCCTCCGGCCTACGTTGATGCTTAATTTCAGGCAAGCTGATTTCATAAAGCCTTTATTGACTCTTTGTAATCCGACCATTCTATGTCTGTGGTAGTTATTACACCTCAGTTTGTTGGGCATACTGCAAAATATGCCGCCATTTTGTAAGTTTTTTGGCACTTCTGAATGAATTTTACGGCTTAGTGTATAATTTAAAGTTTAACCAATTTGGAAGGCTGAAAATGGCATGTTTTTAGTATGCTAGATTGTATACTGAATTGACAGAACTTCTGGTTTTGTGAGAATAAGGCTAACTAACATTCTATTATATCAAATGAAACCTTAGAGCTAGTTCACTCCATATATGGGAGCCCTTGAGAGAGGGCTATCAAGATAAGCTCTCTATTATGCTTGAAATTGACCTCAGACGATGGAGGGGAAGTGAAGGAGTGCTCTAAGGATTTGCCCTGGCAGAGTTTGGGGGTGGAGGAAAGAGGGGATGTGAGAAGTAGAGGCGAGAGGGGGTTAACAGGATTAGGGCCGTATGGAAGAAATGTTGTATATAATAGTTTGAGATGATATTCTTGTAAATTTGAATTTTAAGTGTTAGGTATGAAAATATACACCCCCCTTCCTCCTTTTTTTTTCTCTTATTCCTTAAGCCATTCTATTGTATTACAAGATGTGTTTTTTTCAGTATAGTGGTAGGGGAAATTTGATGGCTTCTTTTGAGAGTTACAGTTGCTATTATAACTTCATGAAACAAATACAAATTGATTGAGCAAAATTCTGGTAAAACAAGTACAATTTATGATATAGAACCTGATTTTCATCCCAGGAGTAGGGAATTTGTTGAGACAGTGAAGCAATTCTAGTGATGATTAGATCTATGGATAATTCCTGAGAATTAGATTCTTTTGCAATAAATAAACACTGCATTAGTGAAAAATACTTAAAAAATAAATTTTAAGGTAGTTTTTTCAGCTTTATTTAGATGCAAGTGTTATCAAGGACTTAATGTTATCAAAATGTTAGTGTTATTGACCAAATGCATTGTGCTTGGTGCTGTTATTTTTAAGCTATCAGTGTTATTTATCGTTGTGATGACATTACCTCTTAGTGTTGTTTTTTCGCTTTCTTTAGTTTAATGGGTCTGTTTGGGGCAGCTACAACTTATCCAACTTCTGTTGATAAACAACTTATTCTGATAATCTGCTGATGAGCAGCTGATCCGGATAAGCTGTCTGGCTGTTTGGTTTGTGCGTCTGGAAAACCGCTGATTCTAGAAAATTGACCATTCTGCCCCTGTTCTGAATGAACTGTTTAGTTGTTTGGTTAGTGCGTTTTGTAAACAACTTATTTGCTAATTTTTTTAGTTTTATGAATAATATGTGCAACAAAATTTGTTATTTTTTCAACAAAATTAAAGATAATTGTTAAGACAAGAAAATAAAAAAAAATGAAGTTACATTTATATAACTAAAATATATCCGATCACATCAAACGAATATATTACACATACAAAAGTCAAATGCATCTGCACATACTACTACAGAGTATAATGAGAGTCCATAAAAAAGAAAAAATAACATGTTAAAATGACAAGTAAAAAAATTATAATGTTATCTTTATAATGTAACAGCATATCACGGACCATACTACCCGGCTCTGACACTCCAGAACCCTAAGCAAGTCTGTCTGATTGTGATACTGTAGAAATAGAAGCACTCGAACCAGATGCGATGTTCTGAAATGTTGATATCGACGAACTCCGAGCCGGGGTGTCCATCTGGGATATCATAGAAACAGACTCCCTGTCGGCCCACCTGAAGAAACTGCAGTTCTCCTGTCGTTGTGTCTACCGCGGGCACCTGTAAAATTACCTCCCGTAGCTATGTGACTGGCGTGACGTGAGTAGCAAGGACGGTGGACTGCACCAACACATCACATTCTCGGACTTCCCTGAATATTTTCGGACTTCCCTGAATATTTGTCGGACTTCCCTGAATATTTGGAACTCATCGTCCTACAGTTATTAAAAATAGAATAGATCAGTCAAAAAATTGAGGAAATATAGAAAAAATACTTACCGAAATATGGAGACAGCGGTTGCCGACAACAAATTTTTGTGGTCATCCAAACTGCTCCACCGATATAGAGTTTACATATAAATGCATAAATGTTGAAAGGAAAGCTCAAATATTAGATATGTAAATACATCTATATGGGATGCATATAAATGCATAAATGTTGAAAGGAGGGCCATTAAAGTTACTGCTCAAATGCTCAAATTCTCAAATGCTAATATTCAAAACAGTTACTGCTCAAATGCTGCAGCGGTTGCCCTGAAAGAAGGGCCATCCAAGCTGCTTCAAATACAGACACCATCCATCCAGTTCTATCCTTTCTCCAAAATCACCAACAATGGTTAAGCTATACTGTTAAGATAACACAAAAACCTTGATTTCAAACAACATAAACTCTAAATTCCTATGAAAGTGATAATTCCTATAATTTCAATATAATTTCTAACTATCAAAATGAATCCTCAGTCATCTGAAATTTATCAGACCTATGAAGCCTTTGTGATTCTCCCCCATAATGCCATTTGAAATGCACAGGAAACCCTGTCATAAATAAAGCTTTATATGCTGAGGAAACGACAATGTTGCAGGTATAATAGCTATTTATTGGCAAGTATCATAGCTCAACCACCACATTGAACATTTGTGATTCTCCCCCAACTTTGCATCCCCACAATTTCAATTGAAAATATGATTCTGGAAATGAAGCCGAGAGAAGGGTGATAGAACAACAACAATGAGCACTACTAGAAGTGAAATGCCAACACATCGCCTCACTAACAGAATGTATAAATTATTTCATGCCCCCATCATGATAGCAATGAAATGTATAATACAGCTAACAAATATCAAATAGCATGAAGGAATGCTAAGAAATATCAAATAAGAGCTAAGAAATGTGAATATGACTCCTGCAGATCATAATTCTCTCATATGCCCAAGCATAGCAGTTATATATAACATAGCAACCATACACCAATATATAAAAATCTCATCTGCCCAAGCATATCTTGCAACCATACATCGAGATAAAAAAGATCTAACACCTAAACTTCAGAGATAACAGAAATAAGAATTCCTTATTCAATCTGTAAATAACCATTAACTGACTGGTATGTATTTACAACTTCCAAAAGGGAGATTTACATCCGTAGCACACAATTGTCACGTATTTACATATCTCACAACAAAATTTTGTTGCTTTCGACAATTAAAGAACAGGTAAAAGTGTATTTAATATGAGCTGCAAGTTCATCCACATGGCCTGATATAAAACCGATGACATAGCAATTTTGCAATGCATTTCTTAACAAATTTTTTAAAGGATTCAACCATACATTTCTTAACAAATTTTCATTCATCACAGTCTATCATAACTTATTACTGTTTTAAGAAGCCAAAAAGGTCATTTGAGAAGATACATTTCAGAAAATGATGTTTAATAGAATCCTCTTATCTAATGCATAAAAGACAACAAATGTCTAGATGGATAGGCTAATGTCATTAGCTAGTTGTTCTCTCAAAGCCGCCATCGCCGAAGCACCTGCTCCATCTGGGGTGTGTGATTCTATTGAATCAAATTCGACTTGTGGGATGGTACGTCCAACATGATATTCAAATGCCTCAGGTGGTATTTAAAATATATCTTCTTCTATAACGACAAATTCTGCATTGTTGTTACAACGCCAGTAAACATGCCATCCAACTTATCCTCCAAAGCTGGTTCAATGCCAGTCAATTTGAATTTTTTTGCCGCTGACACTGCCTGTAACAATAAAAAAAATTGTAATCAATATTCAAAACATTTGAATATGAAAATACGTTGAAGTAGTGATGTAATTACCTCTAACTTTTCTGCCCACCATTCCTCAGGTGCGTCAATTGTCCGCTTTAGCGGATCTCATCCAATCCAGTTGATCCCCTTTTGAGCTCTTTCCATAGTTTCCAGTCTTTTTTTAACTGATCCCATTTGTTTTTGAGTTTCATTCGATCGTAATCCCTTCCAGTTATTTCCTTGAATTTAGTCGTGAGATTATGCCAACCTTCTTTATTAAAATAAGTAGTTGGTCGATTTCCCAATTCGACCTCCCTCAGACATAAATAACAAAAAATATTAGTAGCTTCTCTATCTCACATAGCTGATGATCCGGACTCTTTAGACATTAATATAATTGTAGACTTTTTGTACCAGTGTAGGACAATCAACTGTAATACAACATTTTTGTCATTCTAACTCAATTCTTAAGGGAAAAAAATCCTTCAAAGAGATACACAGATTACTGTTTTCAATAACTATTTTTATGCAAAGAGATACATTAGCAATAAATATATAAATATATATTCAACATCAGCGTCAATTTTGAGTTATTAACAAGCCTGATTAGAGATTCAAATATGGTGACATTTGGTTGGCATACGACATGTCTGGGGAAACTTTCCCAATTCCCATATATTTGTATTTTTTCAAATAACCAAATAGACTTATGATTGATGCGTTGAATGCAAAATTAAACAAAATTTCATTTGCTAAAACCTTCTAATGAAAAACAACAAGTAACCCTAAACGCATAACAACCATAGGATACTTCATTGAACAACCATAGCATCATCCAAATGATAATTTCAAAACATAATTAGCTGTATCACAGTAACCTTATAAGAACTTAAGAACTTCACAGTAACCATAGCATCTTCCAACTGACAATATCACAACATAATTAGTTGTGAAATTGCAACCATAAGCAACTTCAAAACAAAAATATTTGTCACGTTTCTGGCATTATTATGGATCAAATGTGAGAG